GGGCAGCGTGAGTGCAAGCTGCAGTAGTCTGAAAAAGTTAGGATATTTGTCCTTCCGTACTTCATCGGCGAAGCGATCGCAGATTTTACAAGATCCATTTCAAATGTCACAAGCTGAGGGTGAATCTTAAGGCTTGCGTACATGCTTAGTAGAGGACTGATGCCGTTTTTCTCACAACTGAATACTGCGTCACACGCCACACTCGAGGCCAACGCTTCATGTGAAAATCGCCTGTCCAATTCAGCCAGCAGTGACTCAGTCCACCACATTTTTATTTGCGGGTTTATTAAAATATGCAACGAATTTCCATTATTCAGCTAACTTGCTAAAGCGGGAAAATAATGAAAAGAGAGTCCTCTCATGTAGCCTATCACAACGACAAGTTAAGAATCATGAGTATGTGGAAAATAATGCGTTTTTTGAAGCTTAAACCACATAAACACATTTCATTACACCAAATACACAAAATAATGTTATTTTTTAGCAACGTCATATGACCCCTTTAAATATCATAGAAATTAATTTAGCCCAAAACGTACTAATTCTATCCACTAAAATAAGATAATACAAATAAAATGAGAAAATATAAATTATTAAATTTTTGTATTTTATTCATAGCTCAGAGAAAACATGAACATACAAAGAAAACATAAACTCCGCCTATGGGTGTGTGTGTTCACTACTGTGAGTGTGCACTTGGATGGGTTAAATTCCGTGTATGGGTCACCATACTTGCCACACGTCACTTCACCTTCATATCTTATCTCATAACCCGTCCTCTACCCCTAACCATGACAGACCACTAGATTTAAATAGAAACATGATTTGGCCTTATTTAGCAGTGAGGTCAGCTCACTAGTCAATGTTCAACACTTTCACTATATTGGTGCGGGCATTAATACCTCACATGTGTAGTTAAACCTGTATACTAATATAATGGATAATCCTTCCTGTTACCCAGTTTCATTCCTGTTACTAAATAGTTTTTTCTTTAAAAATAAAGTTAAACCACAATTTTTTTATTTTTTTATTTAGGGGCATAGAAAATTGATAAGCTTGAGATTTGAATCACCTTTAAAATGAAAAAATGGGTTTGTGTACTTTAAAAAAATACACCTCGTGTAGATAAATAGAGATTTTTTATGATTAAAAAATCATATTTTTTGACCATGAAACCAACAATTTCTTTAAAATAAACACCTGCCTAAGGGGGAAATTAAGGAATTTGTTGACATATTTTTAAACATGCTTTTTAAAAGACATTGGAATTTTGGTAACAGGACTGAGAAAAATGCATCCATCTTTTACTTAAAAATTGGGTAAAAAAATTAAGTTACCTGAGATGGACCAATACAGATTTTGAATAGTTAAATATGTGTATTACTAGATTCAGTCTTTAAAATGAATTATTTTTTTGAAGAGTTTTGGAAGCAAATGGCACCCATTCGGTGGAAATGGCCCAATAATAATAATAATAATAATAAAATAAAAATCTGCACTATATTGCTATATTGAAGAGCGATGAAAAATGTAAATTGTAAATATTATGTAAATATTAAAAATACTTATAGTACTTATATATACAGCGGGTAAAATAAGTATTGAACACGTCACCATTTTTCTCGTCTGTAATGAGTCTGTACACAACCCAAGTAATCCATACATACAAAGAAAACAATACAAATAAGTTCAGAAATTAAGTTATGTGTAATCAAATGGAATGGAAAGCCAAGGAAACTCAATTGGTTTCAGCTGCTAGAATGGCCCAGCCAATCACCTAACTTGAATCCAAAAGAAAATAAGAACTAAAGATCAAAGTTCATAGAAGAGGCCCACAGAACCTTCAAGATTTGAAGACTCTGTGGAAGAATGGGCCAAAATCACACCTAAGCAATGCATACGAGGAGGCGTCTTGAAGCTGTCATTACCAACTAAGGCTTTTGTACAAAGTATTAAATAAATTTCAGTAGTTCAATACTTTTTCCCTGTGTTATTCTATTTTATTACACATAATTTCTGAACTTATTTGTATTGTTTTCTTAGTATGTATGGATTACTTGGGTTGTTACTGACGTCTGGTGAAAATTGCGTATCAACAGCACCTTTAAAAATATATTTACTGAGAAAAATGGTGACGTGTTCAATACTTATTTTACCCGCTGTATGCATGTATATATATATATATATATATATATATATATATATATATATATATATATATAGTAATAAATATACTAACAATTAATTGTCAAGGAATCTGTTTATGTTTTTGTTCAACTGATGACGGAATTTTCTTTTTTCTTTCTGTCTTTTTTTCCTTTGAACCATGCAAATAGAAACTACATTACAAATAATAGCTGAATCTTACAAAAGTCTTTACTAATAGTAAAGGGTAAACATATGAATAGAACTGAGTAATATAAGGCAATATGTAGGGCAGATGGTGAGACCCCAGTGTGCTTTAGACCTCCTACTGACAAAAATATGTGAAGTTATTAATCGTAATGAAACTCACATTCGGAATCCTGCTCCTGCTAACTCTGTACGCAGGAACTCATCCGGAGAAAACATTCCGATTAATAAACTTTACATAAATGTGAGACATGATTAAAAGATTAGTTCCAAGACAGGCAGTTGAAAAAAAAATCCTTTATTTTTCCATGATCTTTTTTCCATACATTTGTGGTATAATAAATAGACAGGGGCTAAAGGTCGATTTCGCCAATGTCCCTTGCCATTTCTGAATGATAATGCTTTTCCCCCACACTGCAAACAGATTTTCATAGAATTTACAACCAAAAATAAAAAATAAAGCTTGACACAAGCTGAAAATACTGCCAGCAGCTCTCTGTACTCACTGTCAGATAGACCTTTCTGAGCCGTGACGCTGTAGCAAATCCTCAGGAACAAAAATATATATATTTATATTTATATATTCACAGTTAAAGTATTTACACATAAGAATCCAAAGGAAAATGGGCAGAAAAAAAAAGACGTTTCTACAAGAAACAATCTTTCAAAAGGAAGTACAAATCTGTTTTATGTACAAGATGTATAATTTTCTTTAAATTAGCTATTCAACCCCTTTTTCATATAATGATTCCTGAAAAATATTCATTTTAAATACTCCATTTGTCGCTCATAAAAGCAGAATGATGCATCATCACTCCCCATCGTGATTAAAAAAGCCTCGTCCCTCTATACAAACCATTATTATCCTGTACAATATAAACATATTTAAAAAGAAAAACAACAAAAAGCTGGGAGACCTTACCCTGTGAGTGAACTAATGTAAAGGACACGTTTCATAGCTTGGTCTTGTGAGTGCCATTTGGCTTGATGGGGGTTGGAAGCCTCTAGTGCATTTATAAACATAACCAAATCACAAAGAAAAGCAAGTGACCACGCTGCCTTGCAGATCAGAAAGTCTTCTGCTTTCAAAGGGAAATTTGGCTGAATGAGGCTGTAATAGCTTTTCAAACTTTTTGATGATTAAATACTGAGCAAAATGCAGAAGGACCTCAAAAGGGTCGCCCAAAGTACCAGTGAACTTAGGTCATTCGTACAAACACACACACATAGGAGGAGACAAATGGAAGAAGGTTTGTCTTTGGAGTTGTGACACATTAAAGTACAAATTTGGCACTGCATTCGACTTGTACTTGATTTTCTGGGTCCACTGCTGACGTTTTCAGGTCGACGGACCTAATACTCCAGGGTCTGATATCCTAAACATCGGTGCATCTACTTAGATTAGATTTATTAGTGGAATTGGTGCCTAGACAAGCTTTTTGAAAAGCATCAGTGCTGTGCACCAGTTACCGCACTCACAGAGAACTCCTAATACTATGAAAACCCATGCTGAAACCAGTGCAGGTGGATTTTGCTTCTTAAAGTGAACTGGTGGAGAAAATCCGGGACATATGTTTGCAGAATAGCAGCATCATATTGGTGAGATTCGCTCCGTAATAGAAAATTCAGCACTAGTGACTGAATATGCATGAAGCCAATTGGACATCTGCATGTTCATCTGCTGAAATAGTGAGCTGACGTGACAAACGCAGAGTTAATACTAAGCTGTACAGCTTTAAAGTGGAATCTGATTGAAAACAAGCAGCTTTCTGCCTTTACACCTTACAAAAGCTAGAGGGCAGCAGACACGCTCAAATCCAATATTCACAGAGACTGTTGTAAAAAATGGCTTGAATAAATGAAAGAATAAAGTGTAGTGTATTGTTGGTTTTGATCCTTTAAAAAAGGTCCAGTCTGTAGGTGCCACATGCAGCGCTAGCTGAAATACCGTAGGAGCGTTTCGCTTTGTGTAAATTTGCCTGAGCTGTGGATCTTTTCTACTGATTTGTTTTGTGGCCAGCGCAGGTGTGCATTTGTTGAATGTTCTGCAAATTGAAGACAACTGACCCAATTCCCCCAGCAATGGTTAGTGTCACGATGAATGCTAAACCTTGTGGGCTTGTTACAGTGAAGTCCGATAATAAACTAAACTTCATACAAGTCGGACTCGAAGGACAAGGACAAAAAACCTGAACAAAGCTTTTTTGAAACTGAATTTTGTGCGTGTGGGACAGATGTGAGCAGCTTAAAGTGTTTTGAGTCCGAGTTCAAGGACGGGGAGGTCTCTCCATAACCAAACCACAGAGGAAAAGGGGACTCCACGGCAAAGACAAACTGTGCCAAATGGGCAGACGACAAAGTGAGTGCCCAAACATTTAGGGGGAAAAATAAGTCCAGTTCCATAGAGGTCAATGGAAGAGTGGTAGAAAACTCATTTTTTATGCTTGAAAGAGCACCTGTAATTTGTAAACAATCATAAAAAAGTACAAAAACGAAGTCCCAGACACTTAGCTGCACGATATATCCAGTGGATGTGTTGGATTTCACCCACTATTTCCTCTGTAGATCCAGAAGACGGGGCGTCTGGGCTTGTTGTTGGGCAGTGCATGTTTTTAAGAAAGTTCTCACCTACCCGTTGGGGTTAGTTTAAGGTTCCCCTGCAGTTCTCTGCGCCACAGAGGCACGGTATCTTTTCGTCCTCGATGGGGAACTTGTAGTCATAGGTGATCTCCTCATTAACATTTATTGGCTGCCGGGAGTAGATGACGATCTTTTTCTGCGATTCCACAGTGATGACCTTGGCATAACAGTTTGGCTGCAAAACACAAAGAAGAACATGATCAATATGGTTTTCGACTTCAAAATTACCTTTTGTTAAGACAACGTACAAGCAAACTCACATTGCAACTGTGATTGATGAAGCGGGCGAAGTTGCCACATTTGGTTGCGTCTATAATGGTATCGTGATCCACACGGAACATGTAGCTACTGCCGATGCCTTTATCCTCGTAGCGCTTCTCTCGCATGTCTGCGATAACCTGCAGATGGAGACGAGACAGTTACGAACAGACTGGCCAACAAGCAGGGACGCTGAAAGTTTGGTTGGCTTCACGCTCACCTGCCGGATATTCTGGCCGACATATTCGATTACCATCTCATCAGCAGCAATAGGTTCCATGGCGAACAATCCCCAGTCATGAATGTGACTTTTACAGAACCGGATCTTCTTTTTACGGAACTGTGGAGAATTTGTGACTCGTTAGATTTTGCCTTGGCTCATATTTTGATTGGTGACGTTGAGCAAGATATAAATAGCTGGGTTTTGTTTGTCCTACCTTGAGCTGGTTGAATTTGAGGAGGTCACTGTCGCAGCTGAAGGACGACAGCAGGCGGCGCTGTTCAGACCGCCGCTCTGAACCTGCCCTAGTGGACGCTTGGGGCTGAGCTGGAATACTCTTCCCCTGTGAGAAATCACACACAAACACAATCAACATCAGGACCTTCAGCAATTCAGCTTAATGAAGTATCGACTGTGAGTAAACTCCAGTATTTTATCACTGCGGCCCACCTGAGTGTCCACATCAGGCTCTTCAGACTGCAGGCGTGAGCTATTCAGGTACTTCATTTTGTCTTTCTTGTCGATTTTGTAGTAGCCCTCGCTGCGGGCGCAGCCGGTGACATGGTCGCGTATACCGTCCTCTTTCCGCTTTTTCTTCAGCCCTGATGTGTTGCCCATGTTGGTAGGTTCAGAGGAGTCAAGAAGTCTTTCTTTACATGAACAGATAGATCTCCACATAACAGGTCTGCAAATACTAGCAATTAATTTTAGTAATTATTTTGTTATAACAATACTGTCAACAAGCAAGAGAGTCTCAAAAATGTGAATACTGGGGTTCTATTTGAGATGTAGAAAATTACATTTTTCAACATCAACCGATGAACAGCAATACAATTCCGCTATTCCGTTTGAACCCACTAGGGGAAGTGCCCAAACTAAATTGCAAAAGGAACTAAATGACTTCGCCAAACACTCCCCCAAATCTTTAGTTTTTTTAATTGAATTCCATTTGCTGCCACTAGGGACGCAGATGTTACCAACAGCCACTTTAATAGGATTTTACACTTAAAGGGATAGTTCACCCAAAAATGAAAATTTGATGTTTATCTGCTTACCCCCAGGGCATCCAAGATGTAGGTGACTTTGTTTCTTCAGTAGAACACAAACGAAGATTTTTAACTCAAACCGTGCAGTCTGTCAGTTATATAATGGAAGTGAATGGGAATCACGGCTTTGAGAGTAAAAAAAAAACATACACAAACAAAACCAAATCAAAGCCTGCGGCTCGTGACGATACATTGAGGTCTTAAGACTGCAACGGTTTGAGTTAAAAATCTTCGTTTGTGTTCTACTGAAGAAACAGTCACCTACATCTTGGCTGCCCTGGGGGTAAGCAGATAAACATCAAATTTTCATTTTTGGGTGAACTATCCCTTTAAAGTCATCGCCATTGATAAAAGACAATGGATATTTTTTTGAATGCTAATTCTCACATTTACATTGTAGCAGTAAAGGATATGAGGATGGTGGACCCAGAGGGTGTCGTTGAGCCAGTCGTTGCCATTGTCCTGCTGCAGCATCTTGTCGTAAGTTATCTTAAGGTAGCGGATGTCCTCCTCATCAATGCCGTCATTCCAGATGTCATACAAGATGGTCATCTCCTCAAAATCTGAGCGGGGTAGGAAGCTGGGGCGGAGCGGTGATGTCACAGGGGAGTGCATGGACAACAACAACTCTTGCCAGCCCCGCCTTTGTCGGCGCGTCTTCTGAACAGGTTCCTCGACGTAAGACAACCTGTCTTCCACCTCAGGTATGACTGTCTGGGTTTGGTTTTCCTCTTCCTCCAATGCTGTTGAGTCACCATCTTCTCTTTTGAAGGTCTCTGAAGGGTGGTCTGGGTACAGATCATTTACTGGTAGATCTGGAGGTGATGAGGCCACCATTGGAGCTGGAGGCTCTTCAGAATCTGGAGGGGTCTCCACAGGTACCTTTTTAGACTTGGGGCGTCCCGCTTTCCTCTTGCTTGGAGTAGTATCTAAGGGCACAGGAACATCTATCATTGGAACAGGAAGGTCTTTTGGAGCAGCAGGAGAGGAAGTCTCAACAGAAGTGGGAGAGGAGCCTTGGGGAGGCAGAGGTGGTTCCTGAAGTGAAGCAGCAGGAAGGGGAGGACCAGGGAATGGGGAAGAAACTGCATTGTTAGGCTGTAGGCTGGCCTGGGGAGAGGCGCTGAGTAGAGGCTCTTTAAAGAGAGACTTCTCCTCCAAGCTCTCAGACGAGGCCTTCCTGTGCATGGGAAGGCCTGCAGATAAAGCAGCAGAGTCAGGGAAAGCTGGGGTGAAAGTAAGATCTCTACCCGGAGTCCGAGGGATACCAGCGCTGAGGACAGGGGATTGAGCGGGGTAAGAGAAAGGGCTGCCGGGAATATGTGGCGAGCTCAAGCTGTTACCTGTTAGCGGCGTGTCGCTACCTGGTGTGCCAGGAACCGTATCAGTGCTCTGAGACTTGCCCAAGCCCCGGGGTCTGTCCATAAGATCTCTCCCCGGTGTGCGTGGGATGTCCTCTTCCGTAGGCAACCGCCCACGGATAGGCATATCCGGCAAAGCTTCGGGAGGCGGCAGAAGGGATCGAGCTTTAAGGGCATGACTGGGGGGAAGAGGAAGGTGCATTGAGGGCATAGGAAGAGAACGAGGGATTCCAGCCTCTGATTCTAGGGGAACCGGGCCATCACGACCGGGGGTACGGGGAAAGTCTTCAGCAGGGATCTTTGGTCGGGTGTCCTGATCAGTGTCTGCAAACGAACCTGTTGGGGTGGGTGGCCGCAAGCTACTAACATCCTCCAGGGTAGCTTCAGCTTTGGGCACTGGAATACTGACCGCCAAATCAATATCGGGTTCATCAGCTGAAAAGAGACGACAACCAATCAGGATCTGACTTCAACACAGAATACACAACTGCTACATGAACATCAAGCTAAACAACAATCAAGGCTCTGACCTGGCAATCCTTTGGGAGATGGAGTCCACACGTCTTCAACTCCAGGCTTGATTGAGCTCACTGCAGTATGTTTGTGATCGATTTCTGCTTCATCTAACGCTTCCAGCCTGCCCAACTCATTTGGTTCCTCTTCTGGTGGTGGTCCTGTGGGGGTACTAGGAGCTTTTATGTCAACATCCTCCACTTCAGAAGACGAGGATGAGGAAGATGAGGACGTCGATGAGGTTTGTGCATCGTCTTCATCTTCATCATCCATTGCCACTGCCTGCTCTTCTTCTTCCTCCTCTTCCTCCCCTGAACTTGATTCGTAGTCAGACGAGCTCTCGCTCCCAGAAGAATCGGAATCAGATTTGGAAGAGGAAGATGAGCTAGAAGATTCTGAGGGGGCAAAAAAGTGAAGGTCATTACCTCAGGTCAATTACAGTGACCACAAGGGCACAATATTCATCCAACTTTTGCCATTACCGTCATCCGATGAGTCCGATGATTCACTCTCACTGGAGTCTGATTCGCTTTTCTTTTCATCATCTTCCTTGTCCTCCATATCCTAAAAGGGCATGTTTATGTTAGGCTCAAATAAGTGTTGTTAATAGAGCCTGATAACTACACTTGATTAAGGTTTATTAAGAAGTACTGTGGATAGGTGCTCACCATGCCAGAGGACAACCTCTCAGAGGCATCTTCCACTGGCTCCTCTTCATGGTCTGAAAGCGATGACTCCTCTTTGCCAGAGGTTTCCTCCTCCTCCTCGCCTTCGCTGTCCAGCTCCAGAGGTCTGGCTGGTCTTCGCTTGGCAGAAGAACCACCACCATCTGTTCTGGAACCGTCTGTGCGAAGATCTGTTCTTTCTGACTCTGAGAATGAACCTTACCAAGTTAGTTTACAAAAATGGCATGAAATCATGTAAAGCATTGTCACTTTAAAGCCAACAGTGGGAATAAGTTGTCCAAGATTTAGTTTAAAGATCAGAAATATGATTAACTGGGCAAGTATGTCAAGCACACACCTTCATCTTCCAGCTCATCGTCGACAGGTGTGGATGGTCGCACCCTCTTATTGTCATTAGTAGATGTTGGCTCAGGGGGCTGTTTCCTCTTAACCTGCAAACAAATGAGTAGCAATTGATAATGAGCAACTTTAACAGTACTACAGCAAACTAACAAAAACTCAGGGTGGTAGTCTGGTACCTTGAAGGATGGTAATCGGATGGCACCGCGCAGGCCTATGCTGAGTCCCATTCCCTCGAAGCCCAGACCCTCCACCTTGGTCCAGTTTTCCAGTAAGCTAGAGGATATAGTCTCTTTGGGTTTGGCCCGTTCTTTTTCCTCATCTTTGCCCTCACCTGTCTTCACAGGTGTAAGCGTAGCCTGCAGGTGCAGAAACACGATGACGGCAGATAATTCTGTTAGTATAATTGACATGACCTCAGGTTTGAAAATTTAATAAACTGTGGTTTTCTTTTTGACTAATTGTTCCAAAACTCTTTGGAACATTCAGTTCTGGAATCGGCTAACATTTAATTTAGAGCAAGAGTACAGAAGATATTTTTATCTGTTGTACAAGTTTGTCTACTACTATCCTCTCCAGAGCACCAACAGATTAAATATACATTTATTAACCCATCCCAGGAAGGTTTTAGGAAATGTAATAACATTATTATATTAACTTATTGCAATTATTATATTATTAAAAATATTTACTTGTCCAAACTTGTCCATTTCATTTTGCAGCAAGTCAGTGCAGTTCAGCAACATTTAGGATGAATGTATGAGTGTTGAACAAGAAGTTATTTAAAGGGAACGATATTTATGAAAGTTATTTATCAACTTGACAGTGATTTTGTATCTGGCACGACTTAAATAGCTTGAAAACCAAATATGTTGCATTTGTTATTATTCATTTCCAGAAGTATTTACATATTCAGCAACAGGGATCATGTAACATTTAAAGCAGGCCTGGGTTTGTTGAATGGCACTTACCTTAGCCGAACGCTCCTGTTTGTCCCACCACTCATCAAATGCCCTGAAAGCCACCACCTCCACCATCTTTCGGTTGAGATCTCTTTTCATGATGGCCTTCAGCTCCTTGACGATAACCATAAGAACTCCATCCACAGTGGCTTTGTGTGGGTCTTCCTTTTGGGGCTCATAGCCTGGAGGGGGAACAGCAGGGTTGAACTTGGGCATGTTGGGTAAGGGCCAGGGTTGCCCGTGACCCACAGTGCCTGCAGGTGCACCAACCATAGACAGAGGCGGATACGGGCTGCCAAACTGCATGGCTGCGGCGGCAGCAGCACCGGCACTTGCAGCAGCCCCGCTGATGAAGTGAGGGTAAGGGTACGGCCGCTGGCTCTGCGCCATGCGACTTAACATCTGAGTTTGCATCTGGAAGGACATGTGAATGCTGCCCCACTGTGGTAAGGAGCTCATCAGGTCCATCTGCATAATGGGCATCATGCCAGGGGGATAAGGGTGCAATGGGTGTAGCATCGGATGGGGGCCAGCCAGGTGTGGTACAGTTGGAAGAGGATGCAGCGGCAGTGGGAAGCCAGCCTGTGGATGGGGCAGTGGGGGGAACCCTGGCGGGGGCATGGGAATGGTCTGCATCGGAGACATCGCAGAGTTGACAACAATGTTTTTGGCACAGTCCCCGCTAGCGATCGGTGTGCCAGGCATCTCATCATCGGAAATCTCCATGTCTTCACCTGACGACTGATGGCCCTGCATTTATAAAAAAAAAACAAAAAAAAAACATCTGTTGCATTAGAGCACAACCAAGTCATTTACAAAGCTAAGCTGGTGAACAATATCTATTGGCCTATATTGCCTTTGGTTTAACAACTCCTGTGCAGCTATGAAAAGATCAATTTCATATTTTTTTCCCCCTTTTTAACTTGATCTAGACATAAAATTTTAATGAAGTTCTATTGCTTTAGTGAGCATAATAATGGGCCGGATTCACGAACATCTTAAGAAATAAATTAAGAAATGTCTTAAGATAAATTCCATGAAGTTCGTAAGAATGTTCTTAAGTGCAATTCTTGAAAAATTCTCATTAAGTTCTCAAATATATATGTTCTTAAAAACATTTTCATTTTTTTCTTAAGAAGGAAATTATGGTCTTTATCTGAGTGAATACATGACTGAAGACGCACTGATAATCTCACACTTGATTGTCTTTATGCGCTTCCTGCAGATTACCCTAATAATCTTAAACGCACACACTATTTTCATCGCGACCCTGGCTGGCGCTCGGCTTCACATTTTTAATGCGCCGTGTTTTTGAACAGTTATTCTTATAGAGCCTGTCGATCAGTTTCATTCATTTTTGTGCTGTGTTTTTGCGCTCTCATCCGAGTGAACGCTTCCGGTATGTGCTACAGCAAATGCGTCCTGCGCATTCATATGCGCTGAATATTGCCAAAGATTATGTCATATTTATAGGCTAAAATTAATCTCCCTATCTGACTGGTTTTTGTAGAGTTGCTACTGAGTTTTGAAGTCATTAAAAAGTGGCGTCACACAAAGGCTAATCATGACCAATCATTGTTTACATTGTCAGTCATCATTGTCACTTCAGAGAACTCGTGCACATCACTATTAATAGTCCTACTATGTATTATATGTAGCTATTGTTGTTGTAATGCTTAAATTTAATAATTAATTTGAAATAACCCAATAAATTCATTAAATAATTCTTACTATTTGGGATTTAAGACAAGTCTGGGGCTATTCTAACTTTAAGAAGTTATTTACAATGATTTTTAAGAAGATTATTTTCAAGAATTTGAATTCTTCTTAAGTTTTGTCTTAAGAACAATCTTACGAAAAAAGACAAGAATATTCTTAAGAAGAATTTTTGGGAATACAAAATATTCTTAACTTTTTTCTTAAGTTAGGAAATAAGAAGAAAATGGCAGTTAAGAAGAAATTTCTACTTAAGAAAGTTTCGTGAATCCGGCCCAATGAGTATTTGATTAATTAATTTACACAATGTTATTTTACTATTATTCACATATTTATTAATGTTTTGAAATAGCATTTATTTTTAAAATTTCAGGGGTTTTTTTATTTTTAATTTTGGTAATTTTGTGCTTTTATCATTTATTATCAAGTGCTTTTAGAATTTTATTTATTTCAATTTCATTTATTATCTTTAATGATTCCAGTTTTTGTAAAATAACATTTATTTGCAAAGGCAACATTTCTAATTTTCATTTATGTTCTTTTAAATTTAGGTTTGTCATCTAATATTAAATAATTGTATTTACTTGAGCTTTATTTCAGTAATTTACCAATTTTAATAGTTACAACACTGTGAGAAACACGCTGTATTTTTAATAAAGCAAAAGTAGCACTAATTAAAATGTTTGTTTTCCAATAATTAATTAAATAATTGTTAAAAGATCTTAAAACTAGTGTGCAAAACTCGCTAGTGCATGTGGGGCCCCTTTTCAATAGGATTGGGATCATAAATCAGATCACCTAGAAAAGTATTATCATACCTCTGCTCAACAAACTGCATGACTTGTTTACAGCACACATGATACGGGGCTAATTATGCACCAGAATTAAATTTTTTGTGTTAAACTAAAAAATATTTAACACAAAAAATGACACTAACCCTAAGCAATAGTAATGATATTCTCTAGAAACAATCATTGTAAGTAGCTTGAATGTAGGAATCCAAAAACTTTCAGATATGACACAGCCCTTGTTAAACGATGGTTTTGGAAATTCAGTAAGAACAGCACTATCCTGATGGTCCAGCTTTCAAGCAGGAAGTAAAGCACAAAATGAGCTAATGGCTGTTCATTGTTTCTCGAGTTGAACTGCGTGTAAGAGGAAGTGAAAGTGTGTTGCACATAGGCGGCATTCACAGTAGGATCATATTTCATGGGTTTGCCATACAGAGCTAGGGGCTGTAATGCAAACAAGTATATTTACAAGAGGAAGCCTCATTAGGCACTGAACATTTATGTCCTTACTGCAGATGCCTAATATTCTCACATTTTTCTATGGAAAGCTTGTTTGGTACAGATTAACATGAAGGACTTAAACTGTGCCAGGCTAAACTTTCTATTTTTCATGCTGCTGAAATGTCACAAAAGGTTGAGCTGCAAAATCTCAAGTAAACAAGGAAATAAGCAGTGATGCCAAGAAGTCTCCTGGCTAGACCTATAGGTTTAAATAAGCCCTACAAAACATTGCACACTGAAATCTAAATTAAATATAGAAAAAACAAACTGAAGAAAAAAAGATTCAAAAACATGTTTTGCAGGCAAATTGCACTATTTCTTCTACTGCTAAAATGTGAAACAAAAGGGAAAGTAAAGGGCCTCTTTAAAGGAAGATGAGTGTGGTTGCCTCTCACATTTCTTCTGGGTCCTGAAACCCTCCATACAGCAACTCATAATATCATATTTAACACCACATCAGAGTAGTTAGATACATTACAAACTAAAAGCAAATAGTAGCAAACTACACTAAATCAATTTAGAAGGCAATACCTTAAAACACTTAGAGCATATAACATTTTGCTACAAAAATGTCAAAAATATATTATTTAATCAGTTTCAAAAACTGAAAAACAGATTCAATGAGGCTTACAAATCAGTTCATTCCATTTGAACAAACTGAATCAATACTTCAAAAAGGGGACATTTCAGAAGAACTGTTTGTGCAGCTGCAAACCGAACTAAACTGAATCAACACTGAACTAAATTGAACTGAATAATGACACTATTGTCTGTTATAGTGTTGTCAAAAGACCTGGTACTTCGGTACCAAGTCAGTACTAAAAAAATGAAAACGTTACAGTACCAGGTTTTTTTAAGTACCGGTGGTACCGAGTACCCGGTCAACCCGCTCTTGATGCGCTATCCGAAAGGTGCGCAGATGCGCTCTCTTCATAAAAGCACTGAGACATGGCGACATCAAAATGAGGAAACACATCAAACTAACAAAACACTTTAAAGACAGACACCCGCTTCTGGAGCAGGGGGTGGCGGCTCGGGGATTGGCGGCGTTGCGGGCCTGTCTCTGACGGGCATGAAGTCGGTGCTCGGGGGTGGCGGGGCTTGAGGCGGTCTCCTATAATCCACTTCCCGCTGAACGGGTTGGTGGAAGGAGGGCTCTGTGTGAGGGTACACTGGGGGCATTGGGGGCTGATAAGGAGAGAAAGCATTCTTGAAATTTGCACTGGCTGGTGGCGGCGGCGTGTGCGCAAAAGCAGGCGACGGTGGCTCGGGGGGCTGATGTTGCTTAAAACTGGGCGGTTGCTCTGCATTGCCACGATGTGCCCCTCCTCCTGTACCGTGGACGTAGTGCCTCTCCGGTCTTCGGTTGTAGGCATCCTGGAATTTGGTTTCATGCCGTCTCGACTTGTAGCCTCCCGAAGATTCAGCACGGTTCGACTGGAACGCCGGAGTGCCCTGCCTGCTGGAATAGCTGGAGTCCTGAGAGAACGGGGTGCCCGATGGACGCGGGGTGTGTGGGGTACCCTGGGACTGTGGCGTATCCTGCCTTAGGCTGGAGTAGGCCGTATCCAGGGACATGGGGGTGTTGGTGCCGCCTGGCGTGGCCGTGCCTCCGACTGCAGAAGAACTGCCTTCGGACAGTCTTCGCAAGGGCTGTGGACACAAAAGCACGACCAACTTAAAACACATTTCAGAATTTCTCAGTGCAACTTTTTCATAAACAAAATCACTGGTCCGGACTTTCTAATGGCATTAACAATTAACATGCTAATCAAATACACTGTATAAATATCAGTTAATGGCATTCTCTGTTTTCATATGGCCCCACTGTGTGATAATGCTCATAACTGAAGTTAATAGTAAGTTCATAACTGAAGTAATAGTGTGCAGCTCTCTGCTGGTAGCAGTTATTATGTGCATTTCAGTCCATTTAACCACCTACTGAACTGATAAACTGGATTAGAGATAAAGAGGTTTCTGCTAGAGAGGGAGAGCATTTATACAGTGTACTGGTGTAAAATACCTTTTGTATTAAAATGATGTGTTAACTAATAGGTTAAAATTAAAACCGATTTACTTGTCATGTCAAGATTATAAAAAGCTCAAAACTCTAGCGTGTTATACAGTGTGCTGGGGTAAAATACTTTTTATACTAAAATAATGTGGTAAATAAAAGATTCAAACATTTTAACGCATTTAATTATTATGATTAAATATCTCAATACTCCACATTACAACATTATTAAATGTACATAAGAGAAATAAACTATGATTTTTAGAAATACATAATATGAGCATTTGTAGTTAAAATAAAAACTATTAAATAAATAAACTTTTGTTTTCGTTCTGAATCAATTAATTGTTTTTGAACCAGTCTGAACAAACCAATTGGATAAAATGATTCCAGCTGCCTAAAGCTACTTTTGATATTGGCGTTCTTCATGCAGCTGTAAATAAAAAAATTTCTTTAACTTTTTGTTTTGTAGTACAATCTTAAGCGTTTCGATTCTTTCTATAATAAATGTCACATGTAATAGCATAATTTGGTTTGGTTTTGGTTTTTACCAGCAGGGCTTCAGCCAAGCTGCGTGGAGAAACTTCACAGGCCTCTTCACCACCAACTGGAAGAGTGAGCGGAGTATAACTTCCATTGATCAGACGCTGGAAGTACCTTTGGCGATGTTCACCTGAACAGATAGATGAGAATGCACAATTCTTTGGTGAACATGATTAGTGAAATACAATGTGGGCTATATCTAAAGGACATACACATTTTATCTATCAGTTGCATTACAATCTAAGAAAAAAAGAAAGAAACAGTATACAATTGCAATTTGCATGTATTATATAATCCAACAAATTTTACATTTCATTTTGTTACATTTTCCGTTTTCATTTTCAGTAAATATTACGCTTTTGTTGTTGTCACAAAAACATAACAGAAAAAAATCATTTCAGTGTAAATCTTAATAGAAATGTGCTTTTGCCAAATACGATTTCATTTTGTTACATTTTCCGTTGCAGTACATATTAAGATTTTGTTGTTGTCACAAAAACATAACAGAAAAAATCATTTCAGTGTAAATCTTAATAGAAATGTGCTTTTGCCAAATACGATTTCATTTTGTTACATTTTCCGTTGCAGTACATATTAAGATTTTGTTGTTGTCACAAAAACATAACAGAAAAAATCATTTCAGTGTAAATCTTAATAGAAATGTGCTTTTGCCAAATACGATTTCATTTTGTTACATTTTCCGTTGCAGTACATATTAAGATTTTGTTGTTGTCACAAAAACATAACAGAAAAAATCATTTCAGTGTAAATCTTAATAGAAATGTGCTTTTGCCAAATACTATTGGCTAGTAATCTCACTTGAAAATAAAATTACTAACAAGTCAGTAAAATTTTACATGCTTTGTATGTTAAAAATGTTAAAACTTAAATATACATATATATACACACACCCATTTATATACATAGACATCATCTATATATACACATCAAGTAAGAAAATGACAGTATAACGCATGCACTTTCTATTCATGTCACTGACGACAACAGATGAAACGGTACTGTCTCTTTAAGAGAGGGGAGACCCAATACAGCTGTCATCCTGCTTTCAGGATCTCACTTTTACAAGGTTAATGACGATTCAGTGTGTTTGTCCTTCAGTAAACGGTCCAAACGAAGGGTTTAACATTACCAACATTTTCATTTGTATAACAATTATGTTTTAGTCGTGGTTAACCACCTCCTATATTTTCTAAAACACACACTTTTCTTTTAAATACTTATATACATATTTTACTGAGGTTAAACAATTGCTATGTTGCTTCAAACTATAACTAAATATCTAATTAACAGTTAAAATGCTTTCGTTTCACGTAAAACGTCAAAGCAAACACATCGGTTAATCCCTCAACCGCTGACTTGCCGTTTAGTGGTTACCAAGCAACCAACGTAAATTTTCGCACGTGACTTCATGTCACAAACTATCTATTCAAATGTACAAACACAAGCGGTATTTTGGTGTGATTCTGTCAGATAACATTCCTCCGATAATATTAAAGCCGTAAATGTCCAGTTTAATATTTTAACACTTACCTTTAGGGTCCAACTCCACGTGGATGATGTTGCCCATGACAGACGTGTTGTGCAAGTTCTGGACAGCATCCTTCGCCGCCTTGACGGCTCCGAATACAACTTTAGCAATTCCGAGATGTTTTTTGTTCTTCGGATTGTACAGAATTTCCACCTCCTCAATATCGCCGAACTTCTTGCACATGTCGGTGAGGAATCCCTCTCTGACGTTGTCGTTGAGCTTGGCGAACGTGACCTCCTTCGGGGGCACGCGACCGATGTAACACTCATCGATCTGAGGTAAAGAAAGCGATTCTTTGAAACAGAACGTTTGTTTGAAGTCACTCAAAACGTTATCTTGCGTCCTAGACTGTTTGAATGAAAGCACGTGTCTCTAGTATTATAGCTGAAAGCAGAACGTTAAATCACTTGTTTCTGAACTCAAAAGCAAGCAACACTTTAGATCTGTGAAGCGTTCCGTGGACGTCAAACGTCCTGCAGTTGGACACTTAAAAAAACACTCAAGACAAATGCACACGTGTCGGGTGGGGGTGTGACTGACTGGACTACCTTAAATTTAGGAACCGGGAGATCAGTCTCCTTGTACTTAGTCCACATACGACCGATTCTCGGGTCTCGGACGTTGTCCACTGGTGGCATGCCGGGGTTCTGCAAACAAAACAAGCACATTTATAAACACTTTACGTAAGGAAGTGTACTTTACACAGTCAGCGCAGTCAAACCTGGCATGTCACTGTCACCAGAACGACTGCAGTACAACCAGAGCTCGTCTCTCGCTAGTTTAGTTTTAAAACGAGTGGACAGTCGTGAATGTTTAGCAACGGTGAAACTCTTTGATGTGCTGTGTCAGGTGTTTACAACGCGACTGATATTATATCCAGCGCCACAATACACGGGTCGATGTATCCGTTGTAACGGCTCGTTTCGCTCACCGGCAGGCTGAAGTTCTGTCCATCGTAGCGATACAGTTTGTGCGATCCCTTTTTCAACGCTGGGTCAATAATCAACTTGTAACTTCTCCAATGATGACTTCGTTTCTCTCCCGAACTGCAGATAGGATGGCTGTTCTCCATTCCGTTCGCCAAACCTAACGACGAGATGACAAAAACAGAAAGTAACGTTACCCTTCATAATCCTGACATGGCAAAGGTTGATTTTTGCACACAAACAGTAAGTTACGTTGTAGAAAATGGGGGGTTTGAAGCGATGCCCGAAACAGACATTACAGAGGAAGAAAAAACAGAAAGCTTACTTGAACTCTGTCTTCTACCGTGATCTTCATTTAGCTTATTTCTTTCTCCAGGTCTGGACATTTTGTGCCCGATCGAGTAGTTTAATATAAAATGGCTAGATCTTGAACGTTTCGCCGATCACATTACATGATTTTAAAGATACTGCCTCCTTTTTGCGAGCCAACACATATTGTGTGCCTCTAGTCTGGGGTTTCTGTCTCTCCCACAATACACCACTATCTCAACCCTCCGGCACATTCGACACGCACTTTCGATTTATTGTTTTTAATGCTCAGGCTAAAGCGGTATTTTTGTGCGGCTGTCAAAAACACGTACAAATGGAGTTATGCGCGATAAACGAGTATGTAGTGAACATATCTTGCATTTCTAGCAGGAAAGTGAACGTTTTGAACGCGTTGAATCTGCGCGATAGATTTACGTGGACGTTAAATACAAGATGGACATGGAGGAGCAACGCTGGGGAAGGCTGTTAAAAATGAATTGGGACACGCGCTGAAAGCCCAAATAATTTGGTTTAGAAACGAACTGCGGTTTTGTTTTCATTTAAACATTTATTCCGGAATATATCTTAAGCCTTGCATTCAGAATGTGCCTGTAAAATTTACTTTCACGAGGGTTCACCCTATATAAACAAAAAAAATAAAGTGGTTATTATTGTGTTTAAACATCTAATGTTAGTTTTTGTATTGTACTGACACTAGTTGTGATACATGTCTCAATCCATTCCACCATTCCCAACATTGTTTGATATTCTGCGGTGCTTGGGCAATTGGCTGGTTAACAGCAGTTCCCTCTCTGGCCAATCAGATTGAAGCGCCATGGTAGATTCAGCTATTAGAAGCACAGCCTTCAGTTCTTCCTACAGAGAGAGCAGAAAGAAGGCTGAATGCAGGCGCAGCCATTTTCTCCTACATTGGGACTCAATGGCCAAAATGGGTTTCCTTTGTTCCTAAAGGGATCTAAATCTTGATTTCATCAGCCTTTTATGGACTATTTAATACATACAGTGTTTCTGTTTACAGGATCTGAGAAGAAGGAAGATGAAATGTTGGATGATATCCCTTTGACATTTTTAAACTTTTTTTCTCTTCCTGGAAACCATCTTTGTCCCAGCAAACTAGGTCATGGCACACCCATATAACAGCATTTTATTCTTTAGTAAAATGCTACTGAATAAACATTTTGCATTTGATTTATATTATTACTAACTAGACTGTAAAAAGAGAGAGAGAGAGAAAAAAAACACATGAAAGTTACCAACTGCTTTTAAGGCCCTGCCTTGTACAGGGCCAAGCATTAATCAATAAGTAAGTTTATCTTTATTGTCTTTGCTTATTTATCTGCAGAATAAATGTTTTAATGCTAATTAAACTGAGGCATTTTATGTAAACTGGCTGAATTTTTTTTTCTTTTTAGTGCTTCCTAATTGTCATCAGTTTTGAGCAAAGCTTTGTCTTCAGAACATTCAGTTGCATGCTGTTCTCTCTCGCTCTCTCTTTTAAAATATCCATTTAAATTGATTGCTTCTCACATTTCAGCAAACAAGGCAGGCCATAGAGAAAAAGGACGATTGGCCTTTTGCAAAAATGCTGAATCACAGGTATGATTGATAGGGTTTGTGGTTGTTTTAATGCTCATCCTGGTTGCGCCTCACTTTTTTAAAAACCCTACAGCAGTACTGGTATCAAGACACATTTTTTAAAAGTAAAATATTGTTTAAAGAAATATGTGGAATTCACTTTTCTTTCATGACGTTTATATTGGGAATAGTGTATTCCTGGTTTTACAGTTAAGTGGAAATCCCTTTTTTCGATTGGTATTTTCAGTAAGTGAACACTCACTATATATCTGACCTTGCGCCAAGGGCACACTTTAATTTCATAACACTATTAGTCTCATAACAGCGTACAGCACACGCTAGAGACAATGTATAAATATGACTCTAAACATACAGAATTATCAAAACACTAACAGAGATATTTACCTTAACATTTTGTTGAAATAATTCTATCAGGCCTAAACGATGAAGAAACAGGGACGTTTTCATTCCCATCTTCGGATCCTTTAACACTGGCTTTAAAGAGGGGGTTGGGTTGCAACGCCTAAAAGGAAGAAAACGACAATAACCATTTTTCTGCCGTCGTTTTTCGACATAATTCACCATTTAACACACCTATCTGCGCAGTCTCCAACGAGTGGAGCTGCTGGAAATCTTGAGGCACTTTTAGATTTTGCAATATGCAAACAATCCCTCTCTTTCTCTTCCTGAAGACAGAATGACAAGAGAAATTCACTCGCTCTTCATCATTCAGAAGACAGAAAAAAAACTTTCCGAAGGTAATGGTTTATACGACCTTATTTGAGTAAAATGATTTGGGAATGTCTGTTTGTTTTAACATGTAACATTAAAATCATATTTATCTTTCAAACTCATTTTAAAAATACAAGTTTTTCTTGTGGGGATTTATTATAATTGTCAAAAAAAAAAAACAGATAAAGGTGTAAAAATCATTATTATAGACACCTAACATTGCTGACCTCAGAAATAGCCTGTTGTTTAATGGCTTCTCTGCTGTTCTCGTTTTCAACATGGCGTCTTCACAAGGACATCATTGTGGAAAAGAAAGGCTGCCGCCCGCGCCATTTATGGGCGAGGCTGTCGGTCGCTCTTTCAACCGATTCTGCCTTTGTATGTGGCAATCATTGCAAACACAAACTGACAAAATGTGGTCAGAGGGGCTTGCCGTTTGAAAAGCGAGGATATTGCACAAAACTTGCAGTAATATCTCGTGCGTAAAACGCGCCCTCGACGCTGCTACGCAAAGCGCTGGAAACCCTGTGGCACAAAAACACAGCGGTAATCTGAGAGTTTGGATGCATGCCACGGGTCCGGGATATGACTGCACCCACCTAACCATTTAAGGTCGGAGAAAGACTCTCAAACACTGTGTGGCATTTCAATCAGCAAGTACAAAGGGAATATCCAGTCCTCTGTGCTCTCTCGTCCCCCTTTCGAGAACATTCGGTGCAGTTTATTCGCCAGCCATTCTGAGGAACATTTGACGTGATGCATGCAGGATTGCGCACTACTTATGTTTCTCAGGTCTTCTGCTGAATATATCACACTGTTGCAACACATACCGGTATGTGGTATGCAGATTTTGCACAATTTATGGCTATGTAATTTTGTATATCTAGCTTATTCCACATCTCTATAAATGTGTAGAGAACGGACATATTTATAACCCAAGCATCTCATCATTGGAATTTGGCCATTGCCTTTTGTGTTTGTTTTTCCTTTCTGTGCGTTTGGGGCGACGCCAGCTCCAATTTATCAACCAGCATGATATTGCGCAAGGGAACGCACCATCTGTCTTTCGCTTTTTTAGGATTCACGCTTGTTATTGCATGCACACCAATACGATTTTGTCTTTATGCCATAGTCTAAAGTAGGACTGATGTCCGAATATTCCAGAAAAAAAGGACTGAAGACGTGACCACATCGTTTCCTGCCGCCCAAGGCTGAAGTGGGTCATGAGGCCATTTTATGGCACTCGTGTGTTTAATTAGGAAAATCCTCTTTATCTTCGTAACCTGCGAACGCAAGCGGTTTCTAACGGCAGGATAAGAAGGGCAGAAAAGAGATGCAGAGATCTGTCAACACCAGTTTTATCATCTTTATGTTTTGTTGTTGTTACCCGATATGCAGACGTGTGCGTAAAGCTTCATTTGTGCTCTGGACAGCTGGAGTGGATCCTCGACAAATTTCGACATTAAACTTCGCCATTAATCATATAAGCTATGCTAACTTTTGTTTAGATCTCGAAAGGACGTTCTTGAAAAGTTCATTTTTGAGGCACTCTTTTATATGTACCCTACTATTTTGTATATTTAATATTTTTAATGTCATTTTTGTGGAGTCTGGGAGATGTCTGAAATCTAAATTATAAGTTTTTTTTTAATGCCAGCAATGTGTGTAAATTCCATGTAATGTGCCTTTTTAATGTCAATCTAATTTCCCACAAGAAATCTGAGGAAATACTCAACAGATCCTGACGACGGTTCGCAATTGCATTTCTCATCATGTACAATTATTTTAGTAACATTTCACTTTTAACTTTTTTTTTCTTCTTCTTTTAGAATTGAGATAAAGATGATTGTAACATTTAATAATATGGTAAGTATATATACACAGAGATGTTGCACTCAATCAACTGCTTTTATGTTGCAATAAATATAACTGTTCTTACATTTAAATTTAGTTTTGTTTATTAACAGATGTTTCGTTTTTTTTTTTTTCATTTCTTCCTCATCTTCGCCTAATTAGCTGTTTCCTAGAAACGAAGCTGACGTTCTGTTGTAACATTCATTTACATTTTCATTACATTTCGCTGTGTGAGAACTGATTTATAACCGAATTAAACGGGCACATATGGCGGAAAACAAGCACATTCGTTTATCGCTGCTGCTGTAGGCCGCTTTTGTCCTTCATTAATGGATATTAACGACCTTTTTATTTATGGACCGTAAAAATCCATATAAATGATTTTACGAGAACATAGTGGGCTTTTATAATTACTTTTTGCAATTTCTCTCCCTTGCCATGTTTGGAATTAGTAAATGCTAACAGTTCTGTGACCGAGACAGTCATGACGCCTCCTATCTGTGAGAAATGAGAGGAGAAAAACAACAACCTTTTTCTAGCCTCTCATACGGGAACATACTATTGCTCTCATTGGCTTGTGACGGTGTGGGGGATGCATTAACTGACACCTATTGGCCATTGGTAAAATAAATTAAGAAAGGTTTGCAACAGGCCACTCACAGGAGCACTGAGGTTTTGCTTTGAACAACGGCCTTTAGCTGGTACTACATGGTTTCGCATATAATTTTGCTCTGTATTAAAGACCATACATTTTCAAGATGAATGTCACTATTAAGCAGATTAATTAAGTACCATCTTAATAGATCCAGTCCTTGATATGTTCTTTTGTATAGTGTTTATTTAGTAGTCTATTCATTAAAAAAAAAAAAAGTTAAAACAAAGTCAACTTAAAATCATTTACGAACATAAAAATGATTAAGTAAATAAAGAATAAAGAGACATTAACTAACATTTTAGTATTTTGTAAATGTATAATTTTAATAATGATAACAATGTAATGATATATGGTGCATTTTTACACAACTGCAATGCTATTTTGACCATTCAGCATCCACGACCAGATTTTTATATATATATATATATGTATGTATGTGTGTGCGTGTGTGTGTGTGTGTGTGTATATATATATACATACAAATAAAGTGTAAGGATTCAGGACCTTACCAAACTTACCATGATGTGCTACTGAGACATGATTCACAATTGTCTCATAGGGTTCATCTCAAAATAATACATGCAAATCTTTTTAAAGTGGGAATTTGAACTAAATCATTTAGCATTTGACATTGAAACTCTATTCTTTATAATGTTTTTAATAATTCTTACTAATATACAAGCAAATAATTTTTAAAAAGTGAAATTAAATAGTAAAATATGTACATGAATGAATGTTTATATACATTTATTTATTTTTTTTAATTTAGTTGTAATGGGCAGATTTATTAACACCTAAACAACTAAAACTATAAAGAACATTGTTACCTGAAATATAATACATGTTAACTAAAATAAAATAAAGTAAAAAATTAAGCTTATTTTATTTCAGCTAGCATTTTCATTTGGTTTAGCAAATGATGATATATAGCAATATTAAAATTATAATAATAATAACAAAAACACAAAAGATAATTAAAAACATAAAATTGTAATGAAAACAGGAAATACAAAAATAACAACTAAGAAAATTATTCTGAATGATACTAAAATAACACTTGTAAAAGGTGGGTAAATCTCTTGGTAATACAAATAATAACACTTTTAGTTTTGTAACTGTTATTAGTAACAAAGTCACACTCTTATATAATTCACTAATATAATCACTGCATTGATGTTTTTTGTATATCATCCTAAGCACACCATTCAGAGCACCATCCTGTCCCGCTCCACCCTCTGTAGACGGGAGAATGTGAGAAGATTTTCAAAGGACTGTCTCAATGAACATGTATTTAGGAAGTAAACTCTCCTGACCGGCTGTAGGGAGTGCCTTCATGTACCCCGCCTAGTGATGGTGCAGACCATGTGTAGACAGGCACGCATGTTTAACAGCCTCAATTACAGTAGCACGCTCTGATCTGCTGGGGTTCTTGAAAACACAGTCACATGGTTTGAAAAGAAAGCAGGCGAGAGGAGGAGGAAGTTGAGACCGGATAGCAGCATGCTTACCTGGCAGAGTGTTAGTCTCACGTTATACTCACCAATGAATTCACCTGACACTTCTGTGCACTTGGGCACCTGTTGGAGGAACTGACTCGGCCGGTGTGGACATGACACAGAACGGCACTGTAGCCGGCAATGGCACTCAAACTGATTCTCTCAAAATTGTGATCGTCGGAGACGGGGGTTGTGGGAAAACATCTCTGCTTATGGTGTACGCCAAAGGAGATTTCCCAGAGGTAAGCTTTTAGATGACGATTAAGCTCAAAATGACAATTTTATGTTGGCGAAGTACAAATTCATGTGCTTGACTTGACAGTTTTCAACTTTTTTTGTGTGTGTGAGTAAACCAGATTTACTTCAGTTGTGAAGACAGTTACAGAAATAACCATTTTCAAGAGAAAGAAACGTTGCGAAATGTATAACAGTCATTTGCACAACATCCCCAGCAAGTTTTTCCACTTCCAGACAGCAATTTCGGTTTCTGCCTACGCCTTAAATGTACTTCAAATGTGTCTTGTATAGAAGAAACATGAACTTTTTATGCACTGTCATCAATTATATGCCTGTATTTGTCTAATTTTATATTGATGTTCAACAGAAATATGCTCCGTCTGTGTTCGACAAATATGTCACCACTGTATCCTATGGAGGGAAAGACATTCAGCTGAATCTGTACGACACGGCAGGTAAGTGTCTACAGACGCCAGACACACCTCAGATTCCAAACGCCCCATTCTCTTCAATGACACACTTTATTGATGAAATATTTAGGCAGGAATGTTGAGTGAAATGGGTGTGAGGCCATTAGTAATAGTTTTCATAGCTGTCATCCCTGAGGTCAGGCCGCACGCACACTTTGATCATTATCGAATTTTTTTTTTTTTTTTTTTTTTTGGCATTAATTTTGAATTATTCTGCAAGATTTTTGTCTTCAATTATTGACATCTAAGACCATACTCTATAAATTATTTACAATATATTACCGTATTTACTTGAAATAAATGACATGTTAGCCATTGTGAAATATTCTTATTCTAAGTATCACCCTCCAGTTTTTAAGCTGGGGCTTATTGGGTCAGAATCTGTCTGCGGATGTGGTGCAACATGCTAAAAGCCACTACTGAATGTGTAACGCAGTTGTTAAATTTGTGGATGAATACTGCATGTATTTCAAATTTTAATCATTTAATTAATTATTTAAATGTAGTACTTTAATTATCATGTACACTACTGTTCAAAAGTTTGGGGTTGGTAAGGGTTTTTATTTAACTTTTTTACAATTTTTTATTTTTTCAGCAAGGATGTATTAAACGGACCAAAAGTGACGTTAAAGACATCTGTTATGTTATTTAAAAAAATTCAGTTTCAAATAAAGGTTGTTCTTTTGAACTTTCTATTCATCAAAAGTCCTGAAAACAGTATTTTGGTTACCACAAAAATATTAAGTGACCCTTTGTTTTTATCTGATTCGATATCTGATCATGTGACACTGAATATGGAGTAATGATGCTGAAAATTCAGCTTTGCATCACATGAATCAATTACATTTCAAAATATATTCAAATAGAAAAGTTATTTTAAATCATAATAGTATTTCAAAATGTTACTGTTTTTACTGTATTTTTCTTAAATAAATGCAGACTTGGTGACCATACAGTACTTTTTTTTTTAACTCCAAACTTTTGAACAGTAGTGTATTTTTGTAAAATGTGCATATCTAAAGATATTATTACATAAAAGAAAATGTTTTTGAAGCACCAAATTGGTTGAAAACGGGTTCAGTATTCAAACATTTCAGAACTGTACATTTAGGAACTACAGGATATATTTTTATATTTTTAGGCTATTTTTACGGTGAATGTATTGCCAAGTTTAATTTTTCTTAATCACACTGGTCATCAGACATTTTATACCTTATTTGGAATGTTGCACATTCTTGTATCGATCTAATCATCACTTATTCATTTACTGACCTCGGTGAACCCCTGACATTTCTCCATGATAAATTCTTCTAAATGCTTTTTTTTTCTTGTCTAAATTGAACTGCATCTTCAGTAATCGAGCTGCTTATCAGACCCACACTGCTGCCTGGACCTTCTGTGCGTCTCAGGAACAGGATGTTGAAGCCAGGATGTGGTTTTCTACCACATCTCGGTTTTTCGTCAAAATACTTTGTTCATAAAATACGACATACAGGAAGATGCTGTATATGGTCAGAGGTCTCCACCTCTGACTTGTTTAGAAGCATCGCCATAGAAACGCTCCACATAATGCAGCATTGTTTTCAGGTATCAGTGTGTGATATAATGACGTCATTTCCTTCTAATCTGTTTACTGCCAGGCCAGGAAGACTATGATCGCTTGAGGCCTCTGTCGTATCAAGAAGTAAACCTTGTTCTCATCTGCTACGATGTGACCAATCCGACGTCGTTCGACAATGTCACGATAAAGGTGATTTGCCTTCAGTTGAGAATGAAACTGTAGTGTTTGTCAGGTGAAAGTCTGTTTTAATTTTGTTTGCTGGCAACTGTGAGCTGATCAACTTTGACCTGAACAGTAGATGATTACAGATGGGCCACCTCTGAAAACAAACAGTATTTCTGGAAGCTTCCTGTCGTGTCAGTTCCGAGGAATGTGCCGAGCCCTGTTTAAATAAAGGCACAGCAAAGGGACTGTTCATTCATGGCCTAAAGATAGATACAGTACACCATTACGGCATTAAGGAAGACCAGAAAATGTATTTATGTAAAAGAAGAAGTTCAGTTTGAAAAATTTTTTCCCTGTTCCCCTACAGTGGTACCCAGAGGTCCGTCATTTCTGCCGTGACGTCCCTATTGTCTTAATAGGGTGCAAGACAGACCTGCGAAAGGACAAAGAGAAGACGAGGAAGCTCAAAGCTTTAGATCTGGCGCCCATCACCTACCTCCAGGTTGGCGTTACATTTATATTTATTTATCTAACAGACATTTTTATACAAAGTGATTTACAAAATAAAGAACATCACAAACTTTTTGGGTTACATTTGTTAAGTAATGTGAAAACAGTTGTGCTGCTTAATATTTTTATGGAAATCATGATACTTTCCCCCCAGAAACTGCATTATATATATATATATATATATATATATAACACACACACACACACACATACACATGCACACACTCAGTGTTGAAAACAGTTGTGCTGCTTAATATTTTTATGGAAATTGTGATACTTTTCCCCCAGAAAGTTCATAATACATTTAATATACTGTATATTTAATATACTCAATATACAGTAATATAATTAATATACAGTTGTGCTGCTTAATATTTTTGTGGAAACCATGTTATATTTTTTGAGAAAGTTCAACAGAACAGCATTTATTTAAAATAGAAATCTTTGTTCTTTGTAACATTGTCTTTACTGTCACTTTTGATTAATTTAATGCATCCCTGCTGAATAAACGTATTAATTTAATTAATATATATTAATATATTCATTAACATATATACATATGTATGTGTGTGTGTATATATATATGTATGTGTGTGTATATATATGTATGTATATGTGTGTGTGTATATATATATATATATATATGTATGTGTATATGTATATATATGTATATGTATATATATGTATATATGTATGTGTATATATATGTATATATATGTGTATGTATATATGTATATATACAGTGGGTACGGAAAGTATTCAGACCCCCTTAAATTTTTCACTCTTTGTTATATTGCAGCCATTTGCTAAAATCATTTAAGTTAATTTTTTTTCCTCATTAATGTACACACAGCACCCCATATTGACAGAAAAACACAGAATTGTTGACATCTTTGCAGATTTATTAAAAAAGAAAAACTGAAAAATGCTCAGTATTTAGTAGAAGCACCCTCTTGATCTAATACAGCCATGAGTCTTATTGGGAATATGTATGTATATATGTATGTATGTATGTGTGTTTATGTATATATGTATATATATTTGTGTATATATATATATGTATATATATTTGTGTATATATATGTATATGTATATACTGTATATGTATGTATATATGTGTATATGTATATATATATTTATTGTGTGTGTGTGTGTGTGTGTGTGTGTATATGTATAAATGTATACACAGATAGAGATATGTTAACTGTATAACCAACCTTCATATCTCTTTCTTAGGGTGAACAGATCCAGAAACAAATGAACGCTGAGATATACCTGGAGTGTTCGGCTAAATATAGAGAAAACGTAGAGGACATTTTCAGAGAGGCGACCAAGCGAGCGCTAGCAGCCAGGGCTAAAGCAAGACATCGCCGCAAGAAGAAGAAACGCTGCACCATTCTGTGACCACTGCCAGAAGAACACACTTGTTCAAGTTTTGTATATATGAACTAGGATATTCTGTAAACATTCCGGAAACATCTGCAAAGCTTCTCACAATTGTTTAAGCTTTCTCGAAGGAATATTCTTCAGGACATGTGGTGTGCGTTTTCTCACAATCTATCCATCAAGCAAGGCTTAACTGTTTGACAGAGGTCACCAGTGTGTGTGTGATAAGTCTGTAATGGTCCACACCACATCTTTCTGCTGGTGTTACTGAGATGACTTGATGGAATTTGGTCTGCCATGATTGTGGATCCAATAGGAGATGGAAAAACTGCTGCTGAGGTCTCAGGGATGACTATACATATATCACATAGTCACATTTTAAATTTGGTTACAATCTGTGTTGTTTATAATGGTAACGCACAACTAACTGAAGTACACTGGGTGTAACATGTTTCTGTTGTGCAATGCATGTTATGGACAGTTTTTAAACTTTGAGTTACAGTATTTTGTGAGTCTTTAAAGCGTTCTGAACAAAAAATAGGCCTATGGTGTACAAAAAATCCTGGAGATTTGTAGAAATATGAGTCTGTGTGTAGACCACCACCATTTACAACATTTTAACTGGAATTTCACTTTTGTTTCTTTCAGTAGGCTACTGGGATTGTATCCCTAACTTTTTCAGATCTCGCATAGATGCCAGAAAGTGTTTAAATCATTTGAAAACCATTATTGCACAAATAAACCAGTGATATTTCAAGACAAATATTGTGCATATATGCATTTAAATGTCAGTAGTAAAATTATGTACCTCTTTTTACAGATGCATATTCGTTATACATCGGCACACATACTTTAATTTTGCATGATGCAGTTTTCAGATATTAGGCAGACATATGAGTGAAAATCTCTGCTTCTTTGCAAAACAAACTTGGTCAGAATACAAGAGTGATCTTGTGGTTAGCGCAAAAACTCCTGCTTAGCAGGATGCGACTGCGGTAACGGAAGCCTCCAAACGCTGCTGTCACGGCTACGAAGCTAAGAATGAAATGTTACTTCAGCATGAAAATATCATCAGTATTATTTACTGATAATTTAATTGAAGCTACTCTGCACTGTTAGTCAATTATTTTATTGACATAAATTATTTATAATTATAATATATAATTATACATAATTTATTGTTTTATATATTGTATTCCAGAGCTTTACTTAACATCCTAATGATTTTTGGCATAAAAGAAAAATCTATCATTTTGTCCCATACAATGTATTGTTGGCTATTGCTACAAATATACCCGTGCTACTTATGACTGGTTTTGTGCTCATACATTTCAGTATTATTTGTCAGGTAGCAGGAACATACTAGGCTATGTGCTAATAAAAAGGTAGAACATTTCATTTGATGGTGGTTTAAGGAGTAAATAATAAATAAAAATCGCTTATAGTACCTTTATTTCACCCACAATGTAGAAGCACATGCTTCACTCTTGCGCCCTCTGGCGGTGAAGGCCTAAGTAATACATTTTCACACGAGGCCATACAGATTGCATCAGATTGAATTTATTTGCTCTATAGCAACAGAAAGTGAATAGAAATCCAGCTTAATATCTAATCGGCCCTTTGGAAACCGCCTTTTCCTCCAGTCAGAAGGCTTATTTCACGTTCAAGCAAAAAGTGCAGTTATTTCGTTCAACACAAAACACTGACGAAATCACATTGTGAATTGTGACAACTGTTACGCATGATTTGCGCAGTGGTTAATTGTGCAGTAAAGCATTTCCCAACATGAGAAATCCCTTTAATTACAGCTTTACGCTTCAGGTACAGTTCACTGAGCCCATGAAATTCCAAACAACTTGTAACACTTGGGTTCTAGGCTAAACTAAACCAGGTGTGAACAGGCAAAGGAGAGCATTAAGGCAAACAAATCGTTCTGTAACCAAATGCAACTTCTGTAGTGACCTGCCGCTGTAATCACATAGGAAAAAAGGTATTGTCTGCAAGCTCCCTGATGGTAAACGATGAAAAACTTTGCTTTAACAAACAAAACATGTTTTTTTCTTTGACACATTCAAAAGTAACGCAGAAACACATACTGGTTCGTCCTATTACAGTAGATGTAATTATAACAGCATTCATTCACATTATGCAAGACATAGTTCAGCATTTCTGTTATTCTGACTTTGTTATTCTTACAGTTACATGTCTATGCCTTTGAATACAACTGCCAAACATGTGAAAATAACAAGGCAACAGAAAAGGGATGCTCCTTATGTACTATGAAGTGTTATTGGAGCTTTATTGCCATCTTTAATAATACAAATCCACGTTTTCAAGGTGTCGGGGAATATCATGTGACCCAAAAATGAAGATGTATTGGAGTTGGTTTCTTCATCGGAACGGATTTGGAGAAATTTAGCATTACATCACTTGGACACCATTTGATCCTCTGTAGTGAATGGGTGCCGTCAGAACAGCTGATAAAAACATCACAATAATCCACAAGTTGTCAGTCCACCAATTAATGTCTTGTGAAACAAAAAGCTGCATGTTTGTAAGAAACAAATCCATCATTAAGATGTTTTAACTTTAAACGGTCTCTTCTGGTCAAAATACGAGCCCATAATAATGCTTCCTCCCTCAAGTAAAAAGTCCATCCAGGTTTTAGACTGTTTTCACTTGTAAACAGTGTTTGATCCGTGCATATTTCTCTCCTGATTCAGACGAAGCAACATTTTCACTGCAGAAAGCAATATGATGGATAATTAATTCATTGTTAATTGATGGACTGGAGTGGTGTGAATTACTTGTGATGTTTTTATCAGCTGTTTGGGCTCTCAATCTGATGGCACCCATTAACTGCATAGTATCCACTGGTGTGCAAGTGATGCAATGTTAACTTTCTCCAAATCTGTTCTGAAGAAACACTCATCTACATCTTGGGATGGTCTGAGGGTGAGCAAGTTTGAAATTAAATTTAGATTTTTGGGTGAACTATTCCTTTAATTCAGGAATTTGGCCTTGCTCAACAGTACTAACAAGCCACGACGTGCAAAACACACCTTTCCCTTAGAGTTGCATTGTTTCAATGCTTTCCCACAAATATGTTACATATGCTTCAGCTAAAATGCTTTGTATGAGAACAAGTACTTTAATCACTATCCAGCTTCTTAAAAAAAAACATAACAAATCCCTTTGAGATGCTGCAGTGAACTGAGCATCTGCAGTTCTACAGCCTTCCTGCTGCGTTGCATAAAGTTTAAATGTGGCTTATTGTAAACATATCCATGCACAGGAACAAAACAAGTGAACTGAAGTCTCCTCGCTTATCGAGTATACAGTGCCTGAAGGTTTTCAGTGGTTTCTACCCCAAACGTTACCCTCTAACTGCTGTGATTGCATAAATAAGAGCAAAAACAACATGGCAGACGATACGGCAACGTGACACGAAATCTTGATTTTCACTGCTGGAACGAGTTTGGGGAGACGTCAACATCTACCTCCAACCCTCTCCAAACAGCTCGTGGGACAGACGAAACCGGTTTGTGCGCTTTAAAGTTCAGTTCTGTGAGTTCCTCACTGGCCACGGGGCGTATGAAATCTTCCAGTTGGCGTCTCATCAGTTATTTTTGACCTTTTCTTTGTTTTTCTGGAGCTTCTGGTGGACCACTTTTAAAGTAGTGAGGAAATTTCCCAAGAACAGGACGAGAAATGTCAAGGCCAACATGAACACCTGAAAAATGAAATGTTTAAACGCAAATTCGATCTGCAATACTGGCAAAATTAATAACAGTACAGGATGAGCAACGTGCAGAAGATTAATACTTGAGGATTTAAGCAATAATAGTGATGTTTGGCAACTTCAGCCACTCTCTTTACCTGCCATTCCTTGCAGTCATCACGGCCAGACAGCTTAAAAAGAGTCGCAGCATTGTACAGCTGCCAAAACTGACCAGAGGAGAGAAAACCAACACATTTATCTTATATGACTGTCAACTGAATCAATATACGCTACTGTTCAAATGTTTAGGTCAGTACATTTTTTAAAATGTTTTTAACATTCTGTTTAAAACCTTCACATTTACATGTTATGATCTTCATAGATGGCTAGATAGATAAATGCATGAAACCTTTCAGACAACTTATTTTTAAGGTGACTGTAAAGTTGGAAAAAAAAAAAAAGAAATTGTATGAAAAATTAAAGGCAACACTTAAAAGCTGATACTCACATGGCCAAAGAATAGAAACGGAAGGAGAAATGTAAGCCCCCTCCACATCCATGATTGAAAGCCCTCTGTAAGAGTAACATGAGGGGTTAGTCTGGGCTCTGACTTCAGGCCAAACATGTAACATCTGCAGCCCGAGACGATGACATCATCCAGGTCAACATTTCTCCCATGATTCAAATCGGTCACAATGCTTACCCACTGTCAGGTCCAGCTGGTTTCTTTCCCCCAGAGCCCGTAACCGATACAAGCAGCCGCTCTGATAATAATACTGAAGAAACTGCACACAACCTGCCAGAGAAACATTAAACAATATAACAACAAACAAAAGACACAAACCACACTGAGCAGCTAGTAGATTATACTCACTCTGATAGATGGAGAAAGCCAGGAACTGACTTCTGAACATCTGATACATTTGACCTTCTGGCCTTAAAAGACAGAAACAGAGAGTGGTGATGAAACAAGTTGGTGATGGGAAAAATTATTCAATTACATGATATGTGGCCTGAAACACTTACCATGTCAACATAACACCTGATAAAAAGGTTGAGACGTAGTGATGCGACACCCACCAGCCTTTAATTCTAGAACGAAATAATACATAAAAGGTAAATCATAACCATTCCTCAATGCAATAAATAAATGAACATAAAATATTACAACAAAATAAACAAAAACAACCCCCAAAAAATATCACAGCCAAACATACAAATACAACAACCAAATAAATAAACAGAAAATCAAACAAAGTGCTACAACCAAATAAATACACAAGACAAACAAATAAAATGCTACTACCAAATAAGTAAGTGTAAACAAACAAGAGAATACAATCAAAGAAATAAACAGTCAAAGAAATAAAAATAAAATGTTACAACCAAATAAATACACAAAAAAAATTCAACAACCAAATAAACAAAAATGAAGTACTGTGGCCAAATAAATAAACAAATAAAACACTACAACCAACCAAACAAAATAGTACAACCAAAGTTAATTTTACTTTGGTTTATTTTAAGCATTTTGTCTCAAAACAGATTGTTTATTGATAGAATAGAGAAAGGACAGGAAAATACTGGGAAGAGAGATTTGAACCTGAATCTCCCACTAGCACCAGTTAACCACATTTGGTCACAGCATTGACCAAATGTATTTTAAATTGAACGTGAACTCACCGTGATCCATTGCTCATGAGGATACTCTCTCTTATTGTCAATGTGCAATAATACCACACCAATAAAAAGTTGAAGACTTCATCTGTAACCCTGTAAACGTGACATCTGCATGTTAGACTCCAACAGCACAATTTCCTACATTAATAACATTAATTATTGAGATCTCTCGTCTTACCGGTAGTTGAAAAGGAAGAGGCAGGTGACAGCACCGAACATTAGTATTATAGTCATATAAAGTTTGAACTTCTCATATTCATCTTTGTATGCAAACCTGTTTTGGAAAACACAAAATCAGCAATTTTGTATTGGGAAATCTCTCTCCGTTCAACGGACAGGTTCACATCTGACTCACTTGGCTT